TGATGCCACAATTTTTTTAGAAACTATATAAACATTTAAATCTCTTCAGGATGGTACATTTGAAACTATGGACACAGATTGAGATGGTGGTGTTTCACCAGATGAGTTGGCAGAAGGACTTGATATCTCTCTGCTGATTGCTAACCGATATGTGGTAGCTTTCGACGCGAATCGAGACGGAGAGCTTGATTCTAAGGGTAAGACAGAAACTAAAATTCATATACGCTAAAAGCAGTCCCTTTGCTAAGTGCGAATTCTTTTTTTACGCACTGCAAGTCTGTAAATATCAAAGAAAATGTCTCCGTATTCTCGTTCTCAGAGCGACTCGGTTGCTCTGGCTAGGCGACCAAAAATATAAAGGACTGGTAACGAGAATGAGGTCTCAGGTCTGCAATGGATGAAATTTAAGGAGCGCGCGAATTTTCAGGTGCGCGAGTGTATTTCCATGCACCCTATGTCTTTGCGCCCACAATACCATTTGTTTTTGTTCTTATTTTTACGATGCCATTCTCTATTGTATCACACAACGGAATGCGCCACTTCAAATTGTCTCATGGCCTAAAATTCTCCACAAAGTGACTTGGCTCCGTAAAATTTCACAGCTTATCAGACCATGGAACTTATTTTGCAGAGTTTTCAAACTTACCTCTACATGAACAGTAATGCCATAGTTAAACCTCAATAAATGGGTGCAGTTCACAAGAAAGTGCCAGGAAGCGCCCACAAAAGGATTTACATATCTTTAATTGCATGGTGTAAAACATCAAACTATATTTGGTTGTAATAAATGCAGCTATTTGGGAGATATTGTCTGAGCCTTGATTTTAATGTTTCTTGCCCACAAACCTGTAAAACATGAATTAAAACATAGCGCAGGCGTGCTTCCTAATAAGGCTGCGTTCACACTTGGTGTCCGAGCATTGGTGCCAGACTCCACCGGTACAAAGTGGTGCTTTTTTGAGACACTGGGTACCTGATTTATCAGTGCCTGGTTCAGTGCCCAAATACAAGGTTAAAACCATGCACTCGGGAACGGCTACGGTGTCCGAATACTGGCGTGGGTCAGGTGTGTTCACAAAAGTGTCCATCAAGAACCGTACTTGGGCACCGTTCCTAAAGCACCAAGTGTGAACACTGCTGAAGGTAATCCATGCCAATCCATGCATGCCATTGACGTCAGCAAACAACGCCTCAAAACTGAGAATTTCCCTCCACAATTGATCAGTAATGATAGCGAATCTCCCGACATCACAGTAATCTCGTGAGTGGGTTCTTTAGCGTCCCCTGCCTAACCAAATTAACTAATTAGTAGATGCAGGAGACGGGGACATTTTGCAGAGACAGAAGACAGCACATTTTGCAAAACAACCTCGCCTAAAACGATTCGACCAGCCATTCACCACTTATTTCGCTCGCCTTCCCTTAGTAAGCAAAATAACTTCGGCTTATCCACGTGGGCTAATTCATTATGCATGAACCTTTTTAAACACAAAAAATGACCTCCTGGATTGAAGCAAATTGCTTTTACCTTAGACTTATCGACTCCCCAGCGAGCAACTTCAATTTTCTGGAACAGTTGTGTCATGGCGATGAGGATTGTTACATTGCAATGGTAAATAAAATCTTTTGAATTTTGCTTAATATCTGGAGTCAGGAGGCGAGCAGCGCAGATCAAATTGAATTTCAAGGTGATTCACGTTAGAACCGTCTCTTTCAACTTTTTTCACAGATTTTCAAGAAAAGGTAAGTTATTTCTCTTTATTGTTGAATTAAGAATTAGAACACAGGAATGGAGCAATTTACACAAACTAACGAGGAATGAACAGACCACATAATTAAATGCGAGATGGCCACGTAGTTTCTCGACGCCAACAGTTGGTCGTTAAAATGAAATCTCCTGACAATGGAAGAAAGGAGAGATTATAATGTGGCTTTTAGAACGAATAAAAGGGAGCAATCTCAGTACTTTTTTGTTTAGTCGATACTCATAAGAAAAAAATCCGCTGTTATATACAGTATATATAGTAACTCATAGAAGTTACTTATGCACTCACTCATTGAAGCGTTAAAAGTTCACTCAGTCCTAGTCTTCTCTCGGTCAAAAACCGGGGGTGAACAATTCAAGTTTTGAACTGATTAAAGTTTCCATTTTTCGCTTCCTTGATTGTGATGAGTACACACATTACAAAAAGGGCTTGATAAGAAACTGACTGTCGTTGGGCAGTTAATGGTATGAGCACTTTACTTGAAAAAAAAAGAATTAAAAAAAAAAAGAATAAAGATGATCCAAAAGAAAATATCCAAGATGTTCGGAGAAAGTCAGCTTTTTCAAACTCGCTGTGCTAAATCTGTTCTCCGTTTACGCGAGATAGAAGAACACATGACTGTGTGATGCACAAATTGAACTGAAGTCTTAAATCAGAGATAACATGCGTAGTTTGAAAACATTAGCAGATGTGAACCTTGCGTTGATGAAAAGGGGAAAAAGTTTCGTGTAAATAATACTGTCACACTGCCCACAGCGATGGTGGGCAGTGTGACACGAAACCTGCGTTCTGATTGGCTCCACGAGCGGACAAGTTGGGCCCATCTTACCCGCTTGGGATTGCTCGCTTTGATCCCGCGCAAGAAAAAAAAAGCTTGAAGTGGACTTACAACGTT